ACCACATATGAAACAACTTCATCAAAAAAAGTATTATATGAAACAATTTCACAAGATTAACAATTTCATGAAAAAATTTCATAAGATTAACGACGGATGAGAGTAGTTTTTACGGTTTTTACAAATTAGAGTGGTTTTCATTTGATCGCTCATCTATATATATATATATATATATATATATATCATCCCAACTCTTTTTCACTTCTTCAATTTAGCATGTACTATTCTTCAATATTTCAATGTTACAGAACAGTAATGATAAAAGAATTCAAAACAAATGTTACTACCATTTATCAAAAGCATCAGAAAGTTTCAAACATTTACCTATATATTTTCACAGCAATTTTCGCATTCGAGAAATAGTAACTTTTGCAGCAACAAATCAAATTATTCAGGCCCGATCAGAAAAATAATGCCTCATTGCCTAAAGCCCTGAACTTCAAATGTAGTGTATTTGCAAAGTTCATTTCAACTTATTATTAGATGTCCACAGCTTCGGGTTTGCCTGTTTGGTGTTGTCGCAGCTCATTTTCATTTATTCCAATCGTTATTTCACAATCTCGTGTTAAAGCCTTTAGGAAAAAAGAATGCAAAATTTGGGGGGTTGGATTACCAAAACGAAAATTATTAACTCCGGACGACCCGCAAAGCGGTGGTCACCGTGGATTAGTCGGCTCGCATAAGACATTATGTTAATGAAAATATATCACTGAACTATCAAAAGTACAATAGACTTGAAAAGTTGCCCGTTGCATTTTTCGGTTTGGACTTTGGAGAACCCAAAACCATAATAAATATGAGTGCTTAAGGATATAAAGAGTTAACAAAAGAAAATGGCATCTGAACATTGGCCCAAGAATTTCGCAGTAATTTCGGTTTTCGATTATTAAAAATTTGCAGTAAAATTCAAATTATTGAAGAGTTGGCAATAAGTCTGTAACCGCCTCCGATTACTCGCCGTCCAACCGACATTACTAACAGAATTAAAAAAAACAAAGTAAAACCAAGAACCTGAAGAATTAGCAGCGCCGTTAGAAACTCGACCACCGTCGTCTCTACCGTTATCTACTACGGCTCCATTTCTACCGCTAGCAACTTTCTTCTCGAACTTGTCAGAAACTTCTCCACTGGCGTGAGAAGAGCTTGGTTCATCCTGATTCTGCTCCGGTTTAGGAGACAACTCGTCCACCGTCGGTTGAGCCTCCACCATCTCCGGTGGTGAAATCACTTGCTTTACAAGTTGTTTGTGATCCAGATCTATGGAATATACCTGTGATTTGCTGGTTCTTCTGCGTGTTAGAGAAGCAGGATGAGCTGAAGAACATCAATGGAGTCGTGGTGTATATAGGGAGAGACACGTTCTTAGTGAGTGGTGGGCGAATAACGGTAGAAGGCGTACAATTACCATTTGCGTGGTTTGTACGTGTCTGTGGTTCAATAGAAGTAGCTGGCAATGTACAAGTTTTTTAAGCGTATTTGCTCTGACTTTAGAGTTTTTTGTCCTGGAAAAAAGATTTTATTCACGTTTCCTCATATGCAATGTTTTGATTTTTGTGTGAATGGTTATCGGTAAGGATTATGATTTGTCCTGATTCGGTATGGAACCCCGTTCATCTGATTTTAATGGGAATGGGGATTTCTCGTTAAAATAAGTCCTGGGACCAGGGCCGGAGATTCTCGGTAGATTCAAACCGGGGATGGGGACGAGTCTAGAAGATGTTATTCAAACCGGGGCTGGGGATCCGTGGTAAATTCAAACTAACGGATATTCTTCATAGGGGTTTGACTGGGGACGAGATGTTAATCTCCGTACCCACCAGGGAACGGGGCCAAGGGATGTTACTACAAACCGGGGCCGGAGATTACAAAGCCCGCCCCATACCCGCCCGTTTGCAATGCCTAGTTATCGGTGATGGTAAATCTACAGAATCAAAAAATAAATCATTTTCTTATAATAATCTCAAATAATGTATTAAATTTTATTACCATAAATAAATAAATTTTAGGAGTGTATTTTAATTTTTGTAGTATGAAATTATACATATGTATTAAATGACGTTGACTTAATAGAGTTTTTTAACAGAGTTAGTTCCAATGATGCAAAACAAAATGAAATGAAAAGCACAGTAAAATAAGTTTTTTAAGACTGAAAACGAAAGTATTATCGATCAAGGCGAAGGATAGTGTGAGAATGAAAGTTAAAGTGAGAAGCGGAAGAAGAGTTTTGGACTCTTGATCACATTTAATTTTAAACTTACATGTGAATCACGCTTGATACACGGATCCCAATGTATCTCGATACATCTCATCATAATGTTCATTCAAATGTAGAGATATTTTCTTACACTTCTCATTTTTAACTCATTTTAAAATAATTTTAGAAATTAAAATAATATGATAATATTAGTTGATGAAGATAAAATAATATAAAATATTTTTGTATCTAATAAATTTATAAAACTTGTAAATACATTGAGAAAAAAAAATCTAAAAACTAGGCAAATTACATTAAAATTTATAAAAATACATGTGAAGAATGTACTCAAATAATTTGATGGTGTGTGAAATAGTCTAAAGATAGTGTATACACTAGTACCATATATATATATATATATATATATATTAGAATGGTATTCGTGCAATGCAGTGAGATATATATCTCGATTTTAATGTTTCGTTTTATTTTGTATCAATAGATATTATAATATGTTTCATTTTATTTAATTTAGAATTTATAACGAAATAATTAATTTTTGATTTAATAATATAATTTTTATAAGGATAATAATTAAATATTTTGTTATAACTCAATAATTATCCTAATTATATTTTATATTTTTTATATTTAAAACGAAAGATTTATATTGTATTTGATTATATTTATCTGTAATTAGTTATAGGAATTCAAACATGTAGCTTTAATAAGTTGTGCTTACGTACAATTTATTTGTAATCGTCAATTCGTCATGCATAAAAAATGATTTTTAAAAGTTTTTGTCAAATGTTTTATCTGTAATAGTTTTTGTCAAACGTTATTAGTCCATCAACTACCTTATTAAGTACCTGCTAGTTTACCAATTGAAACCTAATTATATCGTTAAAATATTTAATGTTGTTAATATATATCTTATATTATAAAGCATTTGACAAAACTTTTAAAAATCATTTTTTATATATGAAGTACTGTTTATTGATGTATATTACTTAAAATTCACAATTACAAGTAAATATGTGTAAATACAACTTATTAAAGTTTCATTTTTGAATTTATGTAACTAACTGCAGATAAACATAATCAAATACATGACAAACATCTTATTTTAAATATAATTAGAATAATCATTAAGTTATAACATAATACTTAATTAACTTTATAAAAAATTATATTATTAAACCAAAATAAATTATTTTGTTATTAAACCTAAATTAAATCATCATAAAAATTGAATTAAAGAAATTACACAAACGAACGAGAACTTTTAAATAGTTAATTTGATATTAATATCAATATTCTTTTTTCAAAATTTTAATATGTCTTCAAATTTATATTTCATTCAAAAATAAAAAAAAATCATCGTTTACTCAAAAACCACATAAAACCGTTTATATTGAGAAAGAAAAATAATAAAACGAAACATTAAAATCGAGATGTATCTTGCTACATTGCACGAGTACCCTTCTAGTCTTAACAAACTTTCAAATAAATACTGATATATCTTAAACCTTAAAAAACCTTTAAAATCCAATTTTCTTTGTTCTGAAAAATATGTCGGATAAGCTCTTAAGATTATTTTACAATATATTGATAAACAGTATTTTTATTACTGAATAAATCTCCCATCAGTTTTACGTTGACAAAGCATCAACATCAGAAGTCTCATCTTGAAAAAAGATTCTATATGCTTTACGTTTCTTCTAAACTTCACGTTTTTTGTGATATCTGTATTGAATTTAGTCTTCCTTTTAATTAGACTTGAATATAGATATAACATTTTAACAATAAAATGAATATTCTTTGAATCGAATCGTAATTGACCGAAACTAAAAATAATATCACATATCTGATCTAAATTTACTTGGTTATTAAATTAAATCGTAAACTGAATACATAGTTATATTTACATAAACTAAAGGGCAAATTGCATGAAAGGGTAACGTACTTTAACTTGATTCCTATTTTTGGTAACGTACTTTCAAAACTTCTATTTTGGTACATAAGATGTAAAGTTTTAAACATTTAATTGCCTAGTAACTTGTTGAAGTATTAACCGCTTACTATGTTGATGTGACGAATGATGTGGTATCCAACTCAATATTATTTGTTATTCAACCCAATTTCATTCCATCATTAGCCAAATCAGCATGGTAACCGGTTAATGCTTCAACCGGGTACCTAAATGTTTAAAACTTTACATTTTAGATATCAAAATGGAAATTCTGAAAATACGTTTCCCATTCTTTGTTATATTTTTATTAAAACAAAACTTATATAAAATCACAAGTTATGTAAAATAATTCAAAATACATAACAATTTTTTCAACTTAAAATTTGACGTAAATACATAACAATATACATATTTTAGAAAGAAATTGTTTCGTTAAATATGAAGTATCGATAAAGAAAATGATTAGATGAGATAACAAATAATTGATCAATTGAGGTAATTATATTTTTAAATTTAAGATTTTTTAATGATGTTATTCTCATGAGTCATAATTAAGTACGTATTGATAAGTATTAAGATTTTTCATTTTTAATTATAAAAGTTAATTATTATAAAAATATTGATGGGTCTGACGGGTCTGTCCAAATATTTTTTTTCCATTGCCCATGTTCGTCCATTAGTTTTAACAAGTCAATCAAGGTCTGCCCATTTCTTCGAGAATGGTAATCCAGATCCGTTTTTTTAGTGGGCCGGACAAGACGGGTCTAACGGGTCATCCCGTCCGTGAACAGCTCTACTATAAACATAAGAAGAAAACTAAATATTTTTAAACTCACGAAGACAGTTTAAGTGGGCTATTTGTTTAACTCTTAATAGTTCTATTAAGAGTCAGTCTTTGATTCACTAAGAGGTGAATCTTGTTTGAGAAAGAAAAATTTGTCCTTTGATGGTTCTAAAACCTTTTAAATGATTTTGTATCTTGGACTTTCATGAACCATTCAATGCCCTAATTTCATTCTGAGCATTTATCAAACAATCATATTTCATGTTGCACTACATCATAAGAGTCTCTTAATCATTCTGACTCATTTAATCATCCTACATCAAACCATTCAGCAATTGTCGAACAACCTTCATAATGAAATATCTTATGTTGACGGTTCGACAAAATAATTGAATGATATGATGAAAATACCGTTATTAATAAACCTTGATGATTTCCATATTTCATGACAATAATAAAAGAGAAAACGGGGTTTCTAACATTTTATGTCACGGTATAGAAGAATACACAAATAACAATGATGTATTTCAGTTTATATTAAAGATTACGTATTAATCGATTCTGATTCCATAAATCAATTTCAACAAAGTTCGGTTTATCAAAATTAGGTAATTATACCTGTTCAGATAAATTTGTGACATATGATCTATGTATTACATTTTGATACGAGAAAGTTTCATTATAATCATGCCGATAAATGCATATAACTGTGTTGGGTTTCTTTTTTAATGCTTAAAAATCGATAAATGATGAAGTTACTACTGATAAATTAAACCATTTGTTGTAACCATCTGGCTGGTAGAAATCGATGGTCAATGGATCGTAATGTCATGGGGTTCTAATCCAAGCGTTGTCAATACGATTATTTATATAATAGAATATTTAGAGTTTATATAGCTCATTATCATGGACTAGAAAGGTACTCGCGCAATGCAGCGAGACACATCTTGATTTTGATGTTTCGTTTTATTATGTCAATATCGATGTTATAATACGATTTTATGTGGTACTGAAAAAACGATAATGTTTTTATTTTTTGAATAAAATATAAACTTGAAGGTATCATAAAATTTTGAAAAAAAATGTATCGACTTTAGTATCAAATTAAATATTTAAAAGTTTTTTTTTGTGTAATTTATTTAATTCGTTATTTTATTATACTTAAATTTAGATTTAATAATGAGCCATTTATTTTTGGTTTAATAATATAATTTTTTATAAAGATAATAATTAATATTTTGTTAGAATTCAATGATTATCATAACTATATTTTAGATTTTTTATATTTAAAATAAGATATTTATCCAGTATTTGATTATGTTTATTTGCAGTTAGTTATATGAATTCAAACATAGAACTTTGATAAGTTGTACATACACAYAATTTACTTGTAATCTTGAATTTTAAATAATATTTATTAGTAAACAGTACTTAATGCATACAAAATGGTTTTTAAAAGTTTTTGTCAAATTCTTTATAATACAACTAGAAGGGTACTCGCGCAGTGCAGTTTCGTTTTATATTTTGGTTCTATCGATATTATAATGCGATTTTATGTGGTTTTGAGAAAACAAAAATATTTTTGTTTTTGAATGAAATATAAATTTGAAGATATTATAAAATTTTGAAAAAATATGCGCTATTAATATCAAATTAACTATTTAAAAGTTTTCGTTTTTATGTGATTTCTTTAATTAAATTTCTTATTATAATTTAATTGAAGTTTAAAAACGAACTAACTGATTTTTGGTTTAATAAAATAATTCTTTTAAGATAATAATTAAGTAATATGTTAGAACTCAATAATTATCTTAATTATATTTTAGATTTTTTATATTTAAAATGATGTTTATCATGTATTGGATTATGTTTATCTGAAGTTAGTTATACGAATCAAACATGAAGCTTTAATAAAATGTACTCATGCATATCATACTTGTAATATTGAATTTTAAGTAATATACATTAATAAACGGGCCGAACATGCCTGTCCAATTTTCTTTTCCATCACCTATGTTCACTCATTAATTTTAACAAGTCAGTCTGGATCCATTTAGTTATTCGATAATAATCAAAGCCCATTTTTCTAACGGACTAAGCAGGATGAGTCTAACGGGCCCTCCTCCTACCCAGTACCCACTAACAACTCTAGTTTGACGACCCTTAAATCTTAATCGCATCACAGACTAAGATATTTAACATTTTTATTTTAAGGCAAATTACATGAAAAAATAATGTATTTTAACTTGATTTCAATTTTGTGTAATGTACTTTCAAAACATCTATTTTGGTACCTAAAATATAAAGTTTTAAACGTTTAAGTGTCCGGGTAACCGGTTGAAAACTAATTTTAGATAATAAGATTATTTTAGGTTAAAAAAATCATGTCACTAACCACATCAGCAAATAATACCGAGTTGGATACCACATCACTCGTCACATCAGCATGATAACCGGTTACTTGAGTAATTAAATGTTTAAAACTTTACATCTTAGATATTAAATTAAAAGTTTAAAAAATTCGTTATCCAAAATAAAAATTAAGTTAAAAATACGTTATCTATTTTAACCACCCTTCCGATAATAAATTATAAAGATATTTAAATAAAATTGGATAAATATTAGAATATAGTAAAGATTAATTAATTCAGATTCTTAACCACCTTTAAAATTCAAAAAAGTTTTCTCCTTTGATTTATGAACATCCTGCTCGATGGTCGGGACTCAGAATGATCAAGTCTCCGCTCCGAGTTTCTACCAGAATAATCCAACAGGTGGTATTAATGTCTAATTGTTATCGATTCTTTCATCATCGAATCACGGTTTCAACGAAAACGATCTTTGAATCCGATTCTTCAACAATCGTCTGATTCAATTACGGGAACTCTCTGATGGGTAATGCCGATCAATTTTCAGCTCATTTTGAATTCCAATGTTTTTCGTAATTTGATGCATGCTATGTGATTCATCCAGAGATAAGTTCCACGATTGGAAAATGAAATGTTTGTCAATTTTGAGATTCAAATTTGTGACGTTGTTCGACGTTTAAATGCTTCATTTAATGTTAATTATTTCTTCACGTGATTATGATTTGATCTTATGTTATTCTTTGATTTTAAACCATAACACGGATGTGATGTTGAATGATGAAATCATAAGCGCTCACTTCCGCTTAGATCTTTGGTCGACTGGAATGATCACATTTGAGGATGATGTAATTATTTTGATTGATGTTCCCTGGGAGGTTTTTGTTTGTTTGTTTGCTTGTGATAATTGGACCAATAAGAATTAGAATTTGAGCAAAAATTTTGGGGCTGTGGAAAACAAATGAAGATTGTATGTAATGGGACGTTGGAATTTCTAGAATGATATAATAAACAGCAAAACTTATATAAGCTAAGATTTAATATTAGTCAAGTACAATAATTTTGGATGATATGGATATTCTGGGATTCTGAAGTAACAAAACATTATGTAATAATCTATGCTTAATCATGTTATACTTGTATTCAGGTGACAAGGCCGACTGTTGCTCCACCCATCTCATAGATGGAGATGGTACTTTCAACGCAGCAGGACTTGACAGTTTCATGAAGGCAGTAAAACTTGCCGAATGCGGGCTTTCTTATGCTGTTGTCTCTATCATGGGCCCACAAAGTAGCGGTAAACATTCCTATATTCATGACTGGAAGTCATTACATAATTCTTGACAAATAAAACTAGCCTTGGTTGTTCCATTCTCTCAAATTCTACACCGAATGGATAAGCAATAGCTCACATTGGTAAACTTCGTATTGAAGATAGTTGTTGGCTTTAGTATCTCACCATCCAAACTTGACTAAAAAAGTATTAATGGCATTATGATCATAACGATCATACAGTTAGTAGTTGGTAGTATGTTGAACTTGCATTTCCTAATATATGACGTAGTCTTTGTCAACACAATGGCTTTGTTTTTATCAGCTCGATTCCTATAGATGAGTTTAATAGATGATAAAGATAAAGATGGAGAAAAGGTTTTCTCAGCTCTATGTATTGAAGATTAAAGTAACTAAGTGTTACAGTAAAAGGAGTAACAAGAAACTATGAATAACTTTAGAGTAAAGACAAGAGTGATCTCTAAACATACATGTTTACATATATAGCTAACACCCCCAAACTCAAGGTGGATCACGAGAAATCGGCTTGAGTTTGTGAACAGGGATTGAGAAATGACCAGGGAGAAGAGCCTTGATGAAGACATGTGCGGTTTGGTCAGTGGAGGAAACTGGAACAAGATAAACAGTGTTGCCGACCACATGTTAATGAATGAAGTGATTACCGATCTCAAAAAACATGCTTGGTGTGCTCATGAAATACATCGTTTTGAGCAATCTGAATGACACTAAGATTGTCGTACTTGACAACAGTGGCAGATGATTGAGGCGCACCCATATCAGACAAAAGCCATCACAATCACAAGGAGTAGACACACAATCAGGTGAAGGTCGCATAGGATGATTATGAGAGTGAGGGCGAGGTTGCACAAGGAGAGTGGAGCGAGCTTGGAGGGTCGCATAGAGGCTGAATGTGGCAATAAGATCCTCGCACTAAAAACTCAATGAGGTCCAAGAGATTAATATTAGCAAGAGATGGACAGAAAAATTTGATGAGACTGGGATTAGCTCATGATATGATGTCATATTAGCTTGATTCAGATTGATGTCTATTGATGAAGATAAAGATGGAGAAAAGGTTTTCTCTGTATTGAAAATTCAAGTAATTAAGTGTTGCAATAAAGAAGAGAAACAAGCAACTCTATGTATCAAACATCTATAGACTAAAGACAAAAAACACCCCTAAACTATACATATTTACATATGTAGCTAACAGTTATCATTGCTGCTGCTATGTATTGTAATTTAATAAACAGTTGTGTGTGTATGTATTACTTACATATATTGTTTGTTCTCTCAGTGTGTAAGTTGGGGAATTATTGTTTCCTGGGGAGGCTTTTCCATGATGGATTACATGGATATTGCAGTCTCAACCACTCCAAATTGTGACCCCTAACTTTTATTGGTCCCTTGTAAATGCATATACCAATATCATGTCAGTTGATGCACGTTCTATCTGATGATTTCAGTGATGCTAATGTGTTTCGGACAGGGAAGAGCACACTTCTAAATCATCTATTTCATACCAACTTCAAGGAAATGGATGCATTCAAGGGAAGGCAAGTATCTATTTTGTCATTTAGTTCTCTTTTATTTGACCCCATCTTAGCAAATTGATTGCATTGCATTCCTATCAGGTCTCAGACCACCAAAGGTATTTGGATGGCTAGATGTGCTGGTATTGAACCTTGCACCATTGTAATGGATCTTGAGGGTACTGATGGAAGAGAACGAGGAGAGGTGGCATTCTGAATTCTTGTTCTTTACAACTCAATGCTTATTGTGCTTTGTTGGTTCTATGTCATAGTTGCTTTTAGTTCATAATCACGAGCTTCTGAATTCAATTTCTGCACAATCAGATACAGGGATTTTGAGTTTATTTGCCATTGCTTTTTTCTTTTCTTGATTAACATGGATATCCAACCTGCTATGCGAGCCGATTAATCCCAGGACGATCACATACTTTGCAGGTAGCTCGGAGTCACCGCATTTGAACCTTCGTGGCCATAAGGGGATTTTTATTTCTCCTTGGATTTGCCATTGCTTTATGGCTTACTGTTACTTGTAGTAGTACTTGGGGAATTGTGTTGCAATTTATGATATAACATGTGGCTGTTGGGGTTATATTAATTTTGGATTTAACGAGTTTGTCAGGCAATCTATGTTGAAGACGATTAATTTTGTTTTATCTGAAGTAGAAAGAGAAACAGATGACTTATTACTGCTTGCAGCTCAGTAAACTTTCACATGTTTCAGGATGATACTGCATTTGAAAAACAAAGTGCACTTTTTGCACTTGCTGTTTCAGACATAGTGCTTATAAACATGTAAGTGTGCTGATATCGAGGATTATATGGTTGAACACGGATTTAAACAAGTTCTCTAAACTACATTGCTTTGCTCTATGAAAAATATCTGTTGCTTAGGTGGTGCCATGATATTGGTCGTGAGCATGCTGCGAATAAGCCTCTACTGAAAACTGTATTCGAGGCACGTTGTTAATATTCTCGCTGTTCTCTTCTTTAATTGCAAACTTCTAACAGTTTAACTTGCTATTTCCCACTTTCAGGTCATGATGCGATTATTTAGTCCACGGAAAACAACTTTGATTTTTGTCATACGTGATAAAACAAGAGTAAGTGTGGTTTATCTGTCTTCCATACTGCTGTGTAGATCGTTCAATATATTATATATAAAAAGTTCATCTGCTAATCCCTTGGGTCATAACCTGGAGCTTATTGGACCTGTTTTCCTTTTGTTTTCTTTAAGACTCCTCTGGAAAATTTAGAGCCTGTCTTGAGAGAAGATATCCAGAAGGTAAACTTTGTTAAACTTATTTGCATTTGTAGTATACTATTTTACCTATGAAAAAAGTCTCAATGTTGTTGATTATGCATTTCTTTCTTTGTGATAGATATGGGATTCTGTTCCCAAGCCAGAAGCCCACAAACAAACTCCATTGAGTACATTTTTCAACGTAAGCACCAAACATATCATCTTTGCTGTCTTTTAACAATAACTAGATCTTGCAATAAATTACTTTGTCTAGTTATATTACTTATCGTTTTTTTACTGATAAAATTGACCAGATTGAAGTCGTTGCTCTCTCTAGTTTCGAGGAGAAGGAAGAACAATTCAAAGAGCAGGTAGAATAGATGTTTTATGGATGATATCTTATGAGTGACACGTGGACACCTCATATTGCTTATGTCCAAAATCTTGTTCATGTAGCTAGATCACTTTGATGGCATAAACTCCAAGATGATTAATGGTCTATTGAAATTTTTATTCATAATTTGGAAAAAATAGGTTGAATGGTATATTTCCATCTTTCCAGTATTTTAGCAAGCATTCTAATTACATATTTTTGTTATATAAGGTTGCCAATTTGAGGCAACGATTCTACCATTCTATTGCACCTGGAGGGCTTGCTGGTGATCGGCAGGGAGTTGTTCCTGCTTCAGGGTTTTCCTTTAGTGCAGAACAGATCTGGAAAGTTATCAAGGAGAATCGAGACCTTGACCTGCCTGCTCACAAGGTACTGTAGTTGCAAAATTGACTCCTTTTGAAGCTTCTAGAATATTCCATGTTTATTCTGTGTGTTATTGCTTTTGATGCTTCTGCAGGTGATGGTGGCCACTGTGCGCTGTGAAGAAATTGCTAATGAGAAGTACTCTGCCTTTGTTGCAAACAAGGTTCATCGTTTTCATGTTTCATTATTCACAGGGATTTCTTCTCTTGAGGTATTGAAACTAATTTCTTTATAAGTATCACAGGAATGGTGCGAACTAGAGGATGCTGTGAAGTCTCAATTGGTGCCAGACTTTGGGAAGAAGCTTAGTTCAATGCTTGAAACTTGTTTTTCAGGGTATGCACATATATAATATCATATGTTCAAATATATATCTATTGTTTTAAGAGGATTGATTAGGCAATATGCATAAAAATGTAACAAAGTATCAAAATTTTCTATTTTGTATCCATTATGACCGGTAACCTAATGATCTTGTAACATTTGATGACAAATATAACAATTTATGATAGGTTTTACGAAAGGGTTGCAACAAGTGAACAGTAAATTTGATATCCATGTCGTCAAATGCTACAAGTTCAGAGTAAAAAAATAGGATATATTTGAGCTTTTGGTACATTAAATAGAAAATTTTGAAGCGTTTTAACATCGATTAAAAAACTAATAGGAATTAACACAAACTTTATTACATTTTGATGCATTTTGCTCAATTGATTATGAAGTTCTGATATGGGGATATGAGCCTTGCATGGCTATTTTCAAGAGTCTTGTTGCTTTAGCCGAGGTCACATTATCTTTGGCTCAAAATTGTTAAAGAATTAAGGTGCACTTAGGTGCAAAGGGGTCCAGAGACCTAGGCACAAGGCGCGGCCTCAAGAATGTGAGGCACATCTTATAGAAAAAGTATATATATATATATATATATACACACACAACTATACATAGCTCAAACATGTAGCAAGTACTCCAGGGCAGCAACCAACTATACTTTGATAGAGGCAAAAGGGAGAAGGGTTTAAAGATTGAGTCATGAGAGAGAAGCTTTAAGGTCTAGGTATGTATAGAGAAAGAGATTTGAAGTATAAGAACTGCATATTTAATAACTCTTTTATGAAGTCTACAAGATAAGATCAGAAAACTTGGTTACTATTGGGGTTTGATTTGGTATTTAATAACTCTTTATGAGGCGCGTCTAGGCCTACAAGACGCCTTAGTGAGCCTCGTGAATTTGCCTACCCTTGACTTTAAAAGAGACCAAGACCTTGAGGCTTTTGAGCCTCACAGCCTAGGCGCACCTTTAACAACTACCTTGGCTTGGAGCTCGTAATGATTTTCTCCCGATCCAGCATGCTAGTTTGCTACTGAGCCTAGAGCTAGTATAAAATTGATAAGAACCCTAGAAACTTGTGTTTTATTGGGGAGTAGGGGAAATACAGAAAGCATTACGAAAACTATTAAAAATCCTAGTTTCAAGGTTGAGTTTTCAAGCCTTTTATGTGTCTATTTAACTGGGTCATAAAACATGAAAGCAAAGGAGCTAGAATTGATCTTTGCTACTACGAAACACTAAAGGTTAACTTTATTATCTTATAGTGAGTTACTAGGCTGCACGAGATGAATCATTTTTGCACTTTTTATTGAACAGGCGAAACAAAAAGTTTTAGCCATTTTTATGCCATGGTGATGTATTTGAAGTCTAAGTTTGTCTTTATGGTAGTTTTGAACTTCTAATTACATTTACTTTTGATTTATTTCGACTCAGATGACTGCATTACTGTAATCTGTCATTCTGTACTCAAGTGTGATTATAAAGATATTTGTTCTTATTATTGTGCATATAACTAACTTGTATAGTGCCTTAATCTTGAACACGAATTCAAAATATATTTTGTTGGTTCACATATAATTATTATGTATTCCTTTTGCAGCTATGATGACGAGACTACATTTTTTGAAGAAGGAGTTAGGATGTCAAAGCGAAAGCAGATGGAAGAGAAATTGTTGCTAGTAAATTTCTCTTTTCTGTGGCCCTTTTTAAGAATTATGGGTTTTATTTTCCATACTGCTGATGGTGGAGTTCCTCTGAGTAAAAAGGGGATAATTTCTCATAAACAATACCTAAATCTTGTTAGATAATAAAATAATTATGGGTTTGGATAGCATATACCAATTGACCTATAACATAATCGAAAACAGATTTTTACTGGGATGTCCAAATAGCTAGAATTGGTAGTAGTTGAGACTTTGGTAACATATAATTTATATCAACTCCCCTCATTGCTTGTTTTCTTCTCTCTTCATTAGCTTGTGCAACCGGCCTACCAATCAACCTTGGAACACATGAGGTCTGAGACATTGGAAAAATTCAACAAAGCATTTGACAGCGCTTTGAGTGAAGGAAAAGGGTTTGCAACTGCTTCTCGTAATTGCAAAACGTCGGTCATGAAACTATTTGATGAACAATGTAAAGGTATGACTCCAACTTGTTATAACAATTTATCATTATACATTTTGTGTATACTCAAACATAGGAAAACAGGAACTGCTATTGCATTTTGGATATATATATATATATATATATATATATATATATATATATA